TAACTTGACCGTAACTAGTAGCGACAGGTAGTGTCCGGTGAAGGAAAGATCTTATAAATCTCACTCAATATGGGGGGCCTATTGCGTGGGACTAAGCACTGAACTGCACAATGGTTACTAAGTGAGGAATTAGCACACAAAGAGAAAGATACCCTTGAGTTCCCTTTAAATAAAGTTTAAAATTTATTACACTTCACTTGAAAATACAGAATAGTAGAAAGTCCAAGATATAAACCTGGGAATAGGGGTAGAAAAAGTGTAGGTAAGAATAGTGTATATGTTGTTGGTGTGTTTTTTCTGACTTACGGTTGAAGAAAAACTACGGTGTAGGGATGAGTGGGTGATCTCTCGGTGGCTCTCCTCTACGTAGCGGATTCCGGAGAACTCCAAAATATGCTAGATGCTCTAGCGCTGATGGAGCTGAAGATCCTCGAACACGGTTCGTTGGTAGTAGTGGTGATGAGGTGACTCTGGAGGTGTTGCTGGTGACAGTGGATCTGAGTTTACATAAAACTCGGTTGACCACTGGATCTAGATGTTGGTTTGTGGTGCTCGGCAGAAATGACCTGGGCTGGATGCCCGTGTTGAACTCAGTCAGATACTGAGAAAAATCACCAGCTCGTTGCTGGCTTGTGTAGAAACCTCGGCTGATACCTTGGGTTGAATTCGTTGTGTTGCTCAAAGATTTGCCAGATCGTTGCTAGGCTTGTAGAAAACCTCGGCTGAGAAGCTCGGGGTAAACTCAGTTAAATACTGAGAAAATCGCCAGGACGTTGCTGGCTTGCAGAAAAACCTCGGCTGAGAAGCTCGGGTAAACTCAGTCAGTTACTGAGAAAATCACCAGGACGTTGCTGGTTGCAGAAAAACCTCGGCTGAGAAGCTCGGGTAGACTCAGTCAGTTACTGAGAAATTCACCAGGACGTTGTTGGCTTGCAGAAAAACCTCGGCTGAGAAACTCGGGTAGACTCAGTCAGTGACTGAGAAATTCACCAGGACGTTGCTGGCTTGCAGAAAAACCTCGGTTGAGAAGCTCGGGTAGACTCAGTCAGTTACTGAGAAATTCACCAGGACGTTGCTGGCTTGCAGAAAAACCTCGGCTGAGAAGCTCGGGTAGACTCAGTCAGTTTCTGAGAAATTCACCAGGACGTTGCTGGCTTGCAGAAAAACCTCGGCTGAGAAGCTTGGGTAGATTCAGTCAGTTACTGAGAAAATCACCAGGACGTTGCTGGCTTGCAGAAAAAAACCTCGGCTGAGAAGCTCGGGTAGACTCAGTCAGTTACTGAGAAAATCACCAGGACGTTGCTGGCTTATAGAAGAACCCCGGCTGAGAAGCTCGAGTGAACTAGTAGTGTAGTCAGGCTATGGCCAGTGATGAATTGGGCTTGCAAAAACTGGCTTCCAACAGACGGACCTTGAAGGGTGAGCTTTAATGATGAGCAAGGCCCCTCGTTGAACACCAAGAGTCGAAATTTTACTTTGGACTCGTTGGTTAAAGTTGCACACTCAACCTGGGGTTGGAAGTTGAGTCAAATGCTCGAACTGTGCCCCAGTGGTGACGTCAGAGGGTGGTCCTGCAGAGTTTCCCCCTTGAAGACTGATCTTGGAGAGGCGACTGATTGAAGAGCTGGGCACCACTTGAAGATGATTAGGAGTCGAAG